CCCAAAATCCACATCGGGAGCCCCAAAATCCACCCCAGTACTCCCAAAATGCCCCCCAACTGCCCCAAAATCCACATCGGGAGCCCCAAAATCCACCCCAGGCTTGGTGAGCTTTTCTGCCAGCTCCTCATCACCCTTGGGTGGATCCCATCTGGTCCCATAGACTTGTGAGGATCCAAGTGGCTCAGCAGGTCGCTGATTGTTTCCTCCTTGATTACGGGGGGACTGTTCAGCTTCATATTCCTATCTACATGCTCCAGAAGCCAGCTGTCCTCAGAGAGACCTGTCCTACATTGAAGATTGAGGTAAAGAAGGTGTTAAATACCTCAGCCTTTTCCTCATCTTTAATAACTATGTTCCCCCCCATGTCCATTAAAGAATTGAGGTTTTCCTTGTCCCTCTTTTTGCTACTGATGTATCTATAGAAAGACTTTTTATTTTCCTTAACAGAAGTGGCAAGACTGAGTTCAAGTCTTGCCTTTGTCTCCCTGATTTTCTTTCTACATGACCTAACTAAATTCCTGAGCTCTTCCTGAGTAGCCAGTCCTTTTTTCCATGATTGGTAGGCTCTCTTTTTCATCCTAATTTCCCTCAAGATCTCCCTGTTCAGCCAGGCTGGCTGTCTTCCCTGCCGGCTTGCCTTTCGGCACACTGGGACAGCCTGCTCTTGTGCATTTAAGACTTCCTTCTGGAAGTATGTCCATCCCTCCTGGCCCCCTTTGTTTTCAAGGGCTGTTTCCCACAGTACCCTCTGAACCAGTCTCTTGAACAGGCTGAAATCTGCCCTCCGGAAGTCCAGCATAGAGGTTTTATTGATGGCCCTTCTTGCATTCCTGAGTATTGAGAATTCTATTATTTCATGGTCACTGTGCCCCGAAATCCCCCAAAATCCACCCTGGGATCCCGAAAATCCACCCTGAGACCACCAAAATCCCCCAAAACTGCCCAAAAATCTCGAAAAACCACCCCAAAATCCACCTTGAGACCCCCAAAATCCACTCCGGGACCCCCAAAACCGCCCCCAAATCCACCTGGGGACCCCGAAAATCCACCCTGGGACCACCAAAATCCCCCAAAACCGGCCCAAAATCCTCCAAAAGCGCCCCAAAGTCCTTCCCGGGCTCCCCAAAATCCACCCGGCACCCGCAAAATCCCCCAAGACCACCCCAAAATTAGTGTCGGGAGCGCAAAATCCACCCCGGGACTCCCAAAATACTCCAAAATCCACCCCGGGACTCCCAAAATACTCCAAAATCCACCCAAAATACTCCCCGCGACCCTCCAGTTCCCCGGCCCCGCCTACCCGGTAATAGTGTCACACATGGGCAGGGCCTGGGAGCACTGGGAGACATTGGGAGGGAACTGGAGGGTCACTGGGAGGGACTGGGAGTGATACTGGGGGTGAACTGGGAGGGACTGGGAGGGGATTGGGGGAGACTGGGAGGGAACTGGAGGGTCACTGGGAGAACTGGGAGTGATACTGGGAGGGACTGGGAGGGAACTGGGAGGGACTGGGAGCGATACTGGGAGCGATACTGAGAGCGATACTGGGAGCGATACCAGAGGACACCACCCCGCCCACCCAAAAATAAATCCCGCCCACCTCCAACGGGTGCCGGTGTCACGTGATGTCACTTCCGCCAATCGACAAGAGGGACACGCCCCCCCCGTTCAAACCAGTTCCCTCCCAGTTCCCTCCCAGTGCCCCCTTTGGGCGTCCCCCGCTTGTCTCATTTGCATAACCCCGGCCCCCCGAGAGCACCCTAATTTGCATATCCATGCCCACTGGTCTGCATCCTTCTGAGTTGCTTTCATTTGCATAGCCACGCCTCCCACTCTCCCTTATTTGCATATCAACGCCACTTCCCATCTCCTTGTCCTGGTTCATTTGCATAACCCCGCCCCCAGGGCGACACCTTATTTGCATATTCACACCACTCCCCACCACTTCACCTTGTCCTTATTTGCAAAACCTCACCTCTGACATACCCTCATTTGCATACCCACACCACTCTCCCTCTGTCCTGCCTTCATTTGCATGGCCCCGCCCACCACAGCTCGCTCTCATTTGCATACCATCCCAGGTCACTCACCCTCCCCAATTGTGTTACCACACCCCATCATTTGCATAACAAGCACCGCCCACAAACAAGCCTCATTTGCATAAATAAAAGCTTAATCTAGTTTTATTTGTGATCGTTGGGCATCATTTGCATGGACACGCCCAAAAGCAGATCCTCATTTGCATGGACACACCCCCAAAAAGAGATCCAGGTCCCCCCCAACTGACCCCAGGGACCCAAAATTGCCCCCCAGATTCCCCCAAAGTGACTCCAGGACCCCTAAACTGCCCCCAGGGACCCCCAAAACTGCCCAAGGGACCCTCTGACTGCCCCTGGGACCTCCAAAACTGCCCCTGGGACCCCCAAACTGCCCCAGGGACCTCCAAACTGCCCCCACAGTCCCCCAAACTGACCCTGGGACCTCCAAAACTGCCCCAGGGACTCCGAAAACTAACCCAGGGACCCCTAAACTGATGCCAGGGACCCAAAATACACACCGAGGAACCCCTAAACTGGGACCCCCCTCAGAAGTCCCAGATGTCGAGGCCCCCCCGGACGTGCCCGAAGCCCCTCAGGCAGCGCCGCTCAGAGAGACCCCCCCGCGAAACCACCTCGACCTGCACTTCTCGGCCCAGGGGGCCACCGGGACCGGCCCCGTGGCCACCAAAAGCGGCCCCGTGGCCACAGCCCCCATGGTCACCAAAACTGCCTCCATGACCACCAGAATTGCCCCCGTGGCCACCAGCTTGACCATCAGCTCCGGGGCCACCACCCCTGCAGCCACAGCCCCTGTGGCCACCAGAACCACCCCCGTGACCACCAGCACAGCCCCCATGGCCACCAGCTTGACCACCAGCCCCGGGGCCACCAGCCCTGCAGCCACAGCCCCCGTGGCCACCAGAACTGCCCCCGCGGCCACCACCCTCACAGCCAGTAGCCCCCTGGCCACCACCCCCCTCCTGGTGGCCACCCCCCCCCTCCTGGTGGCCACCACCACCATTTCCAGGTCCCTCAACCCCATAGCCACCACTCCCATCCCAGTGGCCATCACCCCCCTCTCGGTGGCCACCACTCCCATCTTCAGGTCCCCCAACCCCGTGGCCACCACAGGGCCCATCCCAGTGGCCACCCCGGTCTCCCCCCTCGCCCTCCCATTGCCCGTCCGCCCCAGTAGCCACCCTGACCCCGCGTTTGCCCAACGCCAACCGCGGTCTCCCCTTGTCCAGGGCGGCCAGGAGAGCGCAGACCATGCACAGGTCACCGCTGGCCACTGACCCGCAGCGCCCGCAAGCCCCTGGAGGCTCCCCCGCGCCTGGCGCCGCCCCCAGGGCCAGCCGGCGCCCTGAGTGGGCCAATGCGGCCACGGCCGCCGGTCGGGTGGCCTCCAGGTCCTTGAGGAGGGCACGGGGGTGGCCCCGGAAGGCCAAGGGTGCGTGGTGGCACTCGGAGCTGGCGTAGGAGAGCCCCAGGAAGTGGGCGTAGAGCACGATCTCCCTCTGCGCTGCATGACGCAGCGGTTTCAGCCGCGGCACCACCGGGGGGGCGGCATTGGGTCGGGGGAGGGTCTGGGTGGGTCTCCTTGGGTTCCTGCTGAATTTCGTTGGGTTTCCGTTGCTGTTTCTTAGGTTTCCCTTGAGTTCCGATGAATTGTCGTTGGATTGCATTGAGTTTCTGTCGAATTTTGTGGGGTTTCTCTTGGGTTCCAATGAGTCATGGTTGGGTTCCGTTGTGTTGTCGTTGGGTTCCACTGGGTTTCTGTTGGGTTCCTTCTTGGTGGCCCCAGTGGTCTCATTGGCCTCAGTGGCCTTGTTGGTGGCCCTGGTGGCCTCATTGGCCCCAGTGGCCTCGTTGGTGGCCCTGGAGAACTCACTGGTGGCCGCGGTGGTCTCATTGGTGGCCCCGATGGCCTCGTTGGCTGCGCGCCGCAGCCGGGCCACATCCCCGCGCAGGAAGTTCATCAGAACCGTCTCGGCCACGTCATCAGCGTTGTGACCTGGGGGGGGCCCAGTGACCACCAGTGACCTCCCAGTAACCACCAGTGACCTCCCAGTAACCACCAGTGACCTCCCAGTGACCACCAGTCACCTCCCAGTGACCACCAGTGACCTCCCAGTGACACCCAGTGACC